TCTCAATATGTTTTGATGCTATAAAAATTCCTTTAAAACTTGACTATTTCACATATGTTCTGTTGCAAATAGATGCTGACTGAGAGTGCAATGACATCAGTACCATGTCTTTGGCCTGGGCTCGGTTGAGGGGGACTAAAGGGATCTGTTCCTCTCTTTCACAGCTGCCCCAACTCCCAGGAGACGGGTTGTGGGCGGGCCCTGCAAGGGTCCAGATGGAACCACAGCTTAACCCTGCCTCTGCCCGACTGTCCACAGTGAAGGCAGACGCTGGGGCTAGCCTCATCACTGTGTGAAAATAGCTGAGAAGATCTCGCCAGTGCCTGGTTATGTCTGAGAATGATTATTTTCTTCTTCCTTTCTTTTTTTTTTGAAATTATCTTCTTTTAAATTTAGATGGATAATTAAGAATGATTCCAATTTAAGGTTCTAAGCACAAAATCCAGATACGTCATGTTATGGACTTGCTTCCTGCAGATGAAATCAGCAGAGTTGATGGAAAGAATCCACGACACTCCTGCAGAACAGCGGATCACAAATGGTTGTCTCCATGAAGCCAGAAGCTTTGCGTTTGAAATTTCTATCTGGGCTCACTTCCAGCTGTTCAGGATTCGGATTCCTGAAGGCTTCTTCAGCACTTAATTCTTTGTTGACTGAAGGGGCTGGGACCGTTTCTCCACACGCAGACTGATCTTTGTCATAAGTCACTTTTGTAAGGCGAGAGCAGCTAGGACACATTGCCACGCCTTCCCCATTCTCCAGATCTTCTTTGGTGATGGCGAAGTTATCTCCACATGGGCAGGGACAGAAATACGTCTCCGAGTCCTCGTCATATTGGAAGTCCTCGATTTCCACCTCGTCGTGAAACACTACCACGGTCAGCGGGGGTCGCTGAAGGGATGACGCCCTGGCAGTCTGAGACCATCTCCGAGGGTCCAACTTTGGTGGAGCCGGCCTGGGCTCTGACTTTCATTTAATTATCCTAAAAGGTGCATTCTATCTTACCAAATATAGGCAATTTTTTTTTTTTTTTGAGATGGAGTCTCGCTCTGTCGCCCAGGCTGGAGTGCAGTGGCGCGATCTCGGCTCACTGCCAGCTCCACCTCCCGGGTTCACGCCATTCTCCTGCCTCAGCCTCCTGAGTAGCTGGGACTACAGGCGCCCGCCACCTCGCCCAGCTAGTTTTTTGCATTTTTAGTAGAGACGGGGTTTCACCGTGTTAGCCGGGATGGTCTCGATCTCTTGACCTCGTGATCCACCTGCCTCGGCCTCCCAAAGTGCTGGGATTACAGGTGTGAGCCACCGCACCCTGCCAATGTTTTTCGTATGTAGGCTTTAGGTATGTAGGAATGTAGGAAATTATCAAAATGTGGGGTCATCTTAAATTGCATCCTAAAACCTTTTAAAATTTAGGAAGAAGCCAGGTATGGTAGCTTACACCTGTAATCCCAGCACTTTGGGAGGCCGAGGTGGGTGGATCACCTGAGGTCAGGAGTTCGAGACGAGCCTGGCCAACATGTTAAAACCCCGTCTCTACTAAAAATACAAAAATTAGCCAGGCATGGTGGCACATGCCTGTAATCCCAGCTACTCAGGAGGCTGAGGTGGGAGAATCACTTGAACCCAGGAGGCAAAGGTTGCAGTGAGCTGAGATTGTGCCATTGCACCCCAGTCTGGGTGACAAGAGCGAGACTCCATCTGAAAAAAAAAAAATTGGGAAGCAATGGGTATATTTATATGCAGGCGTAGATTCTGAGTGTACGCAGTAGTTGGAAATGGCAGCTTGCTTGGTTGGGAAGTTGCTTAAAAGTGGATAGGTGGAATGTTACAGCCACTCCAGACGATTTGAAAGTTAAATCCTTGGCAGCATGGTTCTTACCTCCTCTGGACTTGAATTCAGTACAAACTTACCATAACTCAGCAGCAAAGAGACTACACAGGCTGGGCACCGTGGCTCCCGCCTATAATCCCAGCACTTTGGGAGGCTGAGGTGGGCGGATCACCTGAGGTCAGGAGTTTGAGACCAGACTGGCCAACATGGTGAAACCCTGTCTCTACTAAAAATACAAAAATTAGCCGGGTGTGGTGGCGGGCGCCTGTAATCCTAGCTACTCAGGAGGCTGAGGCAGGAGAATTACTTGAACCAGGGGAGGCGGAGGTTGTGGTGAGCCGAGATCATGGCATTGCACTCTAACCTGGGTATATCTCAAAAAAAAAAGAAGAAACAAATATTTTAAAAGCCGGACGTGGTAACACGCACCTGTAGTCCCAGCTACTCAGGCGGCTGAGCCTGCAGTGAGCCTTGGTTGTGCCACTGCATTCCAGCCTGAGAGACAGAGCAAGACCCTGTCCAAAATAAAGACAACTCAAAAATGGGCAAAGCACTTGAATAGACATTTCTCCAGAGAAGATACACAGATGGCCAATAAGCCCGTGAAAGATGCGCCAAGCTGTTAGTCGTTAGGGAAATACAAATCAAGACCCAATGAAATACTACTTCACACATGTTAGTATGGCTATTAAAAAAAAAAAAACAGAAAATAACAAGTGTTGGCAAGGATGTGGGGAAATCGGAATCCCCGTGCGTTGCCGATGGGGGTGTGAATGCTGCCACCGCTGTGGAAAACGGTATGACAGCTCCTCAGAAGGTAAACATAGAATCACCAGAGAAGCATAAGCCCCAAAAAGGTGAAACAGGGACCCAAATGGATGCTTTTCTATGAATATTCATAGCAGCACCTTTCACAGTGGCCAAAAGGCAGAAACAACTCAAGTGGGCTCCAACAGATGAATGAGTAAACAGATGTTTACCCACAACAGAACCTTATTCAGCCATGACAAGGAATGACATTCTGACCCAGGCTCCCACGTGGATGGCCCTTGAGGACATTATGCTGAGTGAAATAAGCCAGTCACAAGAGGGCAAACCCTGCAGAATTCCATCAACGAGGCACCTGGAGCCGTCAGATTCAGAGAGACAGAAAGCGGAATGGTACGTGCCAGGGGCTGGGGGCCGGAGCGGGTGTGGAGTCAGTGTTCAGTGGGTACGGAGTTGCTGTTTGCGGTGATGAAACGGTGGTGGTGGCGGCTGCACAGCACTGTGAATGGACTTCACACTGCTCCACTGTTCACTTACATGTGCTTAAAAGGCAAATTTTGTTCTATGTTTTAATACCGCAATAAACAATATATAAACCTGGATTTAATCGTGTAGAATGCTATGTTTTAAAACAACGGAAATTTTCAAATGTGCACACAAATGGGGAGAATAATGAACTCCCAAGTCCCTCTAACTCAGTTTGAGGCATCAGCTTGTTTCACCTATGCCCTCGCCCTCCCACCCCCACTGAATTATTTTAAAACAATTCCAAACATCATTTCATTCATAAATATATCTTTAGAAAGAAAAGGCCTGTTTAAAAACAACCGCACTATCAGTCTGCTTCCCGAATGCCTTCATTCCTTACTACCCGCCTCTGAGTCTCCTTCCTGAGTCTGAGCAGACTCTCCCGTGAGCCAACAAGTGTCTCTACAGTCAGCTCGTTTGAATCAGGGTCCAGACATCGCATTTGGTTGACAGTTTTTAAATATATCTTATCCCGTAATAGTTCCCCCTTCCTGTCTTCCTCACCGTTCATTTGTTGAAAGGGAATGATTTGCCCTGTAGATGTTTCCACATTCTGCACTTGGCGTACCTGTGGTGGTGGGCGCCTGTCATCGGGCCGTCACCTGTGCCTCTCTCTGTGTCTCAGTCTCTCCTTTGGGAGGTTGAGACTGACCCTGCCATCATCACTGAGGCCTTTTGTAAAAGACAGGTGGTGTGACAGGAGCAAGCCCACCCCACCCCCACCCTGCTGGCAGGGTCTCCCCAAGGACAGAGTCATCTCAGCAAGCAGCACCTCCACCGTGCTGGCCTCAGAACCCTCCATGTGTGGCAGTGCAGAGGGCAAGGGAGTCGCCCTGGGATAGGGGTAGATGCCCCTGACTTGTTAATGGTTGAAACTTTTTAAAAATTTATTTTTTTGAGACGGAGTTTCACTCTTGTTGCCCAGGCTGGAGGGCAATGGCACGATCTCGGTTCACCGCAGCCTCCGCCTCCCGGGTTCAAGCGATTCTCCTGCCTCAGCCTCCCGAGTAGCTGGGATTACAGGCATGTGCCACCACACCCGGCTAATTTTGTATTTTTAGTAGAGACGGGGTTTCTCCATGCTGGTCAGACTGGCCGCAAACTCCTAACCTCAGGTGATCTGCCTGCCTCAGCCTCCCAAAGTGCTGGGATTACAGGCATGAGCCACCGCCTCCGGCCTAATGGTTGAAACTTTTTAAAAATTTATTTTTTTGAGACAGAGTTTCACTCTTGTTGCCCAGGCTGGAGTGTAATGGCATGATCTCGGCTCACTGCAACCTCCAACTCCCAGGCTCAAGAGATTCTCCTACCTCCACCTCCCAAGTAGCTGGGATGACAGGTGCTTGCCACCATGCCCAGCTAATTTTTATATTTTTAGTAGAGACAGGGTTTCACCATGTTGGTCAGTCTGGTCTTGAACTCCTGACCTCAGGTGATCCACCCACCTCAGCCTCCCAAAGTGCTGGGATTACAGGCATGAGCCACCGCACCCAGCCTGAAACATTTAATATATACACTGTACCTTCTCTCAAATGCTGGGTTTACAGATTTATAGCTAGGGCCTGTTAATGGTTGGAACATTCATGTCATGTATATTTTACCACAATAATACAATGTGGCCAGACATTCTGAGTATTGGAAAAACTAAATAAAAGTATATGTACAGTATAACTGCTACTTGAAAAAAAATGCTCAAATCTGTTTATTACATAAACCCCATTGTGAGGTATGACCCAAGTTCGTGAATGACACCTTAAAACAGCGTATTTTAAAGTCATTTACATAGCTTTTAATTTCAACCTTTTGCACTTTGGAAGATAGCAGTTTTCATGTCTATTAATTCAGTACATTAACCATCACTTCTTAACTTTAGGAATTTGAGAGTGTATTTTGCGGTAAAACTGGCCGAAGGCTAAAGCTGACCAGACCAGACTCCTTGGTGGCCTGTCCTGCACAGCAGAGTCTACAGAGTAGCCCCTCGATGGAGATCAAGTGATTGGACTGAAGAGGAATCCTTTGGGAGTGAACAGCCATTCCTTCGTGATCTATGCACATTTTCTGCAATCCTGGAACTCTGCTCGGATCGTCTGACTCGAAAAGGACGTGACTCAAGCTGACGGGACTCCAGTAGGGACTTTGAGAGCACATTTTGTAAAAATATTTATCTAGAACCAAATACTTATCCATGAATGTCCTCTTAGACCATTTGGGGATGAAGCCATCTGAATAATTAGTAAGCATTTTTTCAATGCCCTGATTCCATCATGTTTTCTTAACATGATAAAAAATTAACATCCTTTGTACTTTCTTTAATCTTAAAAAGTACACTGCTTTTTACTTACTGTATTTACATTTTAAATACGCCCCTTTAGCAATTGGAACAAGTTAAATTGTTAACTCAAAACAGTTTGGAAATTTTATTTCATTTGTTATGTCACACCCCCTTGTAATGATTCCGAGTCACGTGGTGGTGTATTGCAACATGCAGGACCATTTTAAACCTTTGTGCTAAACATTTTCCAGATACTTGCTTTAAAGCTACTTTTGTCCACAAATGAAATACTGTCACAGTAGATGCTTAAATGCCCACATTTTCATATCGAGAGTCATTACTTTATGTGTAATAAACTGTGGTGTTTGGAATTGAGTTTTTAAATGAGTGGCTTTATTTATCACAACAGGTAATAGCAATAGACGTTAGTGCAATACAAAGTCACCCTCAATAAATACTGTGAATTGGAGATGCAAGTTTGTACACAAAACATCAGACTACACCTTTGTATGGGAGAGAATTTACTGTACATTAAATTCTTTATTTTTTGTTACTCTGTAGCCAGTCATTAATCTGAAGATTTAATACATCATTTTATTGGGATGAGATCACAGTCTCTACACAAATGCTATGTAAACAAGTTACTGAATATTTTTCATCTCGTGGAATTGTACACAACGTTTTATACAAACACCCTACCTTCTCTCAAATGCTGGGCTTACATGTTTATCAGCTAGGGCCTTTTGAGGTATGCGGTCAGGCGACAGCCCGATGAGGGTGCTCGCTGGCAGGGCCCGCGCGTCCAGTCGGCGGCCGAGGGGCAGCTGGGGCGCTCACTCTCCTGGACGTCGCCAGCCTGCCACACCCCTGCTCCTTCATGACCGCCCCACTGTGCTTCAGGCGTTCTTGTCACTTGCTCATTTCCTTATGTTGAATTTTATGAGCTTCTAGAGCCTGATTTTTCCCCGACCCCTCCTAACACGGCTCCTTGGCAGGCTGAGGTGTCGCAGATCCCCGGTGTCCCCTGGGCGCCAATGGCACCTGGAAGCCCAGGATCTCCGGGAGGCCCAGGCTCGCCGGGAGCACCGTCCTGGCCATCCTTGCTGGTGCCGGGCACGCCTTGGGGTCCTTGGGACAGAGCAGAAGGGTGAGTCCAGCTGCAGCCGGGACTGAAAGCAGGGGTACTTGACGTCCAGCTGCGAGCAAGCCCTGCTCTTCCATCAGCCGCGGGGGGGGCGGGGAGGCCGAGGGAACAGCGCACACAAAGGCTCTGCGGGGGGCTGGCTGTTGGGAGTGCCCCGAGAAGGCCAGGCGTGGCTAGCCCCAGGCAAGGGTGCAGAGCCGTCCTGAGGACACCCGCACTCTGACTTACTCGGGTTTGGATGGGGGCTGTGTGAGTGAGGAGTGGATTTGTAGTGGGCAGGGGGCCCCGGGTGGGGGCCCGGGGTGGCTTTGGTGAGTGATGACAGTGGAACCATGGGGGAAGGCCTGGGTGTGAGGGAAGAGGGAGTCAACCGCCTAAGTCGGGGTTTCAGAGCCATTCACTGAGATGAGGTGACAAAGTCCAGAATGGTGTGGTCATGGCACAGCTGGGAGGCTGCTGTCCACCAGCAAGCACAACACAGATGCTGTTCAAAGCCACACAGGTGGAGAGATGCGGCTGGGGGCCCGGGACACCTGCGCATTGGGACACCAGGTAGAGGCAGAGCTGGGTCAGCAAAGGAGAGGGCCCAGGAGCATGGGGCACCCAGAGAGCAGTGTGAGTGCATGGAGGGGAGGACAGGGCTCCAGGGCAACCAGGGAAAGGTGGGAGCGGGTGCCTTCTCACCTGGGCACACACGTCCTTGGAGCCTAAGGCCTCCTGGTTTTGAGAAGGCACCAGGCTAAGGCAGGGGCAGGAAGGGGATGGCCTTTGCCAGGGATCCTGGCGCGCCTCCCTCCGTGACAAAGCATTTATTTTTGACATTAGAAATGGAAACATTCAATGGCTGCACAGGTCAATTAAGAGAAAATTCTGTCAGAATTTAACTGAAATAGATACTGAATAGCTTAAACAGAATCTAACCAAATCGACTTAGCTAAAATAGATCCAGGAGGATCTGCTTACTGATTAAACTTTTTTTTTTTTTTGAGACAGAGTCTCGCTCTGTCGCCAGGCTGGAGGGCAGTGGAGCGATCTCGGCTCACTGCAACCTGCAACCTCCGCCTCCTGGGTTCAAGCGATTCTCCTGTCTCAGCCTTCCAAGTAGCTGGGATTACAGGCGCCTGCCACCATGCCCGGCTCATTTTTGTATTTTTAATAGAGATGGGGTTCCACTATGTTGGCCAGGCTGGTCTCAAACTTCTGACCTCAGGTTATCCGCCTGCCTCAGCCTCCGAAAGTGCTGGGATTACAGGTGTGAGCCACCGCGCCAGCCCCGATTAAACTTTTATGTATTACAGTGGTTACTGAGACAATTCCTAATCTTGCCTCTGAGATTGCTTTGCCAAGAGAAGAGGAAAAGAGACCCATTCGTAACCCAAGCACACCCCACATAAAGCTACAAGATGGCGGAGGAGATGCCACCCAGTGAAGCCGTGCTGGCCGTGCACTCGTACCTTGGGGACCCTGGTCTCCGTCAGGCCCGTCCAGCCCTGCTCCTGCCACGCCTTTGTCTCCTCTGTCACCCTGGCTTCCTGTCACGAGGTGTGGACACGGACACATGGTTAGAGTATCTATTGCAGCCACAGCACAGCGGTGTCTGATCGACTTTTGTAATAAACAGGGTTCCCGCTTTTTACCGAAGTACAGACGTCACACACACAGGGCTTGATGGGGTCCGACAAGAGGGACCCACCTGTACACAGTCTTGCACCACAGGACGGCTGCAGGTCAACGACCCGCCGTATAGGCGATGGTGGGCCCATAAGATTATCATACCCAATTTTCACCATACCTCTTCCGTGTTTGGATGTGTTTAACACAGATACCCACCACTGTGTTAGAACCGCCCACAGGACCCAGCAGAGTAACAGGCTGTGCAGGTCTCCAGCCATAAGCCCCAGCTCTGGCACACGGCCCAGGGGTGAGGGAGGCCGGGCTTGCGCAAGTGAACTCGGATGTTCCCACAGCGAAACCGCCCAGTGGCACAGCCGTCAGAACATATGCCTGCTGCTGAGCCCTGCATGGCTGAACGACCTCCCGGACCTCCGGCAGCCAATTTGAATGGGATTTTAGTTTTGTTCAAAATATTTATGCCTATTAAGTAGTTATTTATTAATATTTTATAATCCTATTTTAAATGATTTTCGACCCATGGGTCATCTAAGGGCATTTTCACATCCCCCTAATTGTGTCATTCAAATCTTACATCTGTGTTTTGCTGGGTGAGGAGAGGGGTGTGTTACCATCTATTTTTTTTTTTTTTTTTGAGACAGGATCTCTCTCTGTTGCCCAGGCTGGAGTGCAGTGTTGTGATCATAGCTCACTGCAGCCTCAACCTCCTGGACTCAAGGGATCCTCCTACCTCAGCCTCCTGAGTAGCTGGGATTACAGGCATGCCACCATGCCCGGCTAATTTTATAGAGATTGGGTCTCACTGTATTGCCTCAGCTGGTCGTGAACTTCCAGCCTCAAGACATCCTCTCGCCTTGGCCTCCCAAAGTGCTGGGATTCCAGGCCGAGCCACCACGCCCAGCCGTGTCAACCCTGGCTTTGTGCGCCCGGAAGCCACGAGGCTGGATGCATACAGGTCGCTCTAGGATTTGCTCCCGGTAGAGTGAGCCTTTGTCAGCGCAGGGATCCCGTAAGGCAGGCAGCATCACAGAGCCGGTCTGTTTTGTCTGATGGTCATTGCAGCGGCACCAACTTTGTTTTGCTTGGTGTTTGTGTGTCTGTTTCAATCCTGCAATCCTGCTACCTTCTGAAATTGATGAGCACAGGTGCGATTGGCGGTGCCAACGTTGAGGCAGTCACTGCCCATCTGCACATCACGCACGGCCACGGGCAGGAGCGGTGCCCTTGGCCTGGGAACTCGGGTGGGCCTCCCCAGCAGGGCAGCGGGCTTCGGTGGCCCCTGGTGCCCAGTGTGTCTGGCGTTACTGGCCGGATGCCGTGGGCTGACCTACTGTGCCCTGGGGCAGAAGGCGGTCCTGCTGGTGCTCCTTTTCCAGGGAGGGGGCTCGAGGCACGGCAGTAACAGAGGCTTCCGAGCGAGGACCTGCAGTGGGTCCAAGTGTGCATTTATGTTCACATTCAGTTCCCATGGTCAGCTCTGGGCATCGTGCCAGCTTCACTGACCACGGCCCGAGGCACCAAGCACCTCTCCAGGGAGCGGCTCCTGCCGCAGACGTGCCCATCTTCACAGGGTGCAAAAGTGCAGCCGTCCCAGAGGCCCTGCAGGCACGGTCCTGTGACGTTCGTGTGCACTCTCACGCTGCACTATGCGCAGCTCAAGTTTGTGTGGCTCTCCTCTCTCCTGCACTTTACATCTCCACCACCCAACCCACTCCGTCCTCGCGCCGCGCATCATCTCCGGTCAACCTCTTGTTCCTATTTATATCTGTGCCTCTTTTTTCGAATTTCCTGCCCTGTCTCTCCTTCGCTCTCTTTTCTCTCTTCTGCAATGCCGACGAATGTCCTTCTGCTCCATGCTCGTGTGCGCGCGCCTCGCCCTCACGGCTGTTGCGCGTGCCACGCGGGCTCTGACTCGGCTCACCCTCTTTGCTCAACCTCGCCCTCTGCACCTCCTTCCTCCGCTCTTGGGCCTCGCCATTCGAAAGGCGATTCTCGCTGCCAGTCAGCCTCCTAGTACTGGATTACAGGCCCGCCACCACGTCCAGCTATTTTTGCATTTTTAGTAAGAGATGGGGTTTCACCATGTTGGTCAGGCTGGTCCTCGAACTCCTGCTCTCAGGTTCTGATCACCATCGGCCTCCCAAAGTGCTGGATTACAGGCTGAGCCACCGCCCTGGCGCTGAATTTTATTTTCCAAAGTCTTGAAGGAGTTCAGGCTCCCTATCTGGAGAAAATCTTATGTGGTCTCTTTTGAAGATTGCGAGTCCCTCATGCTGCATAAGACTAGCCCAGATGGCCTGAGAAAGTCATAACTTAAAGAAGTTCCAGGAAAACAGGAAGCTACTTTGATAATTTGGACATATGGACAACAAAATGAATTTGACACTCAAGTGCTGAAAATCTTCATCTCAGTATCTTAAAAATAAGTGAAATATACTCACTAACTATGGAACACGACCACCTTTGCTAAATAAGTTCAGTTCATCTCATGATGTGAAGACAAACTCGCAGATGTTAAGTTTCCTTTAGAAACGTTTTTCTAAGCTTACCTTTTGGGAAGCAGGACATTATCTGGTCCAGAAGGTAGGATCCACTGGAATCGTGAGCTTTAAATCCTTTACTTGGGCTGAAGGGCAGCTGACCGGATGTTGCAGATGGAAGGTGTCTTGACATTTTAAAATTCTGGTAAGGGTTCGTGTCCAACAGTTAACACAATTGTGTGTCTTCCATGCCTCCAGACCTCCCCAGTTTACACCTGGGTACCTCAAAGCCTTTCTGGCAAGTCAATACTGCCAGCCATGGACACCGCAAGCACCTCTCCAGGGAGCGGCTCCTGCCGCAGACGTGCCCATCTTCACAGGGTGCAAAAGTGCAGCCGTCCCAGAGGCCTGCCAGGACGGCCAGGACGGTCAGGACGCTCAGGCACATGGGTCAGTGTGGTCTCTGCTCACTAATTCCACCACACCACTCTCTGAGAACAGGTAATGGTCATTAATGTGCTTTTTGAATTTTCTTTTCTTTTTTCTTTTGAGACGAAGTCTTGCTCTGTTGCCCAGGCTGGAGTGCAGTGGTGTGATCATAGCTCACTGCAGCCTCAACCTCCTGGCAGGTGCGTGCTAACTGTGCATTTGTTCTTTGGGAAAACAAGGTGCCAGGCAGTTTACTTGAGAGAGGATCATCAAAAGTATCGTTACGTGAGCGTGAAATATCTGCACAGAGCTTCCTTCCAGAAGGACGTTTTCCTTCCGAGTTGATGGAAAATGGTTTCACTGACTTTGGGGTGATGAAGGCCGGAGCTAGAAAGGAC